GGGGGGGGGGGGGCACTATAACGCTGCCATGGAAACAGTTATAAAAATGGTACCTCTCTTTTAATCATCTCCACTCTGTAACTTTTCCTTCCCCCCCCCCCCTCCTCCCCCTGTTGAGGCAGATTGTGGGGTTCATAATTAGCCAGGCAATCATGACGAGAGCCACAGTGGCCTGCAAATCAATTCCAGTCGGTGCAGGAGTGGAATCAATAGGTGGATGTATAAGAGCCGGCAATCCAATCTGCATTATATTATGTGGAGCTGCTTCATACAGAGAACCACCACCACCACCACCGCCGCCAGGAAGTCCAGGTACAGGGAAGAATTTCAATAGATCCTGAATGAAGTCGAGCAGATTCTGACCTGGATCATGTCATCAATATAAAATCCCTGCAAAAAACCGCGACTGTTTCCAGTTTGAGATTTAAACTTGATCTGCAGCTACATGAAGGCACTTACGTGTTGTGTGACGACAGCTTCCTTCAACCCAGAGCCTCGTTTCAAACGCACGTGAACACATGCACAGATCAGAGCCCGACCGATTCAGGGCTCGACCCCTGAGAGCCGATAACGACCAATCGGCGGCCTGACGGGAAAACTCAAGATAAATTATTTGTTTGTTTTCTTCCAATTTCTAATAAAGTTTAAAATATCGAGCCTCGGTAACATTTCTGTGTCATAAAGGAGACAAAACGTCAGCTCACATAGTTATTTTGAATCTACATATCTGATATATATTTATATTTGCGGACTGTATCGGTCGGGCCGTGACGTTTTCAGCTTCACACACAAACTCAAGTGTGACAGCAGAAAAAAAAAACAGGCTTCAGTAAATGTGACTGGGTCGTCAGCTTCTCAGGAAACACACGAAACAAATACTTCAGTCGTTAGAAAAATGCTTCGGCGCTCGACGTATCAAAACTTTATCTCCGAGTGATGAAACTATTGGTGTTAGAGAAGCGCTACAGTGAACGGTTAAAATCTGCCACACGTCGATCGGACGCACACCCTCACTGCTCCTTGCAGTCGTGCGCGGTGGCGTGCGGCTGGTTGGAGCCGCGGCACGGCTTCCACAGCAGCGGCGCGCTGAAGATGCCGATGATGCCGAGGTTGAGGACGAGGCTGACGACCAGCACGCCGATGGTCCCCAGGAAGGAGGGCGTGGCTCCGTGGGCCACGAGCCACGCCCTCCGCTGCGCCATGTCCGCCAAGACGCCCTCCATCTGGAAGTGGGTCCCCACCACGGCGCAGACGTGGAAGAGCTGGTGGCTGTGGCCTGTGAGGAGGAAGACGAGACAAGAGTCAATGTTCAAGAACGAGGTTCACACACACACACACACACCCACACACACACACACACACACACACACCAAATCTAAAATGCTGATTAAAAAACAAATTCCGAATAATTCCTCAATCAATAGTTCATGAAATAATCAGCAACTTAATTGGTGATAAGAATAATTTGTTGTCGTCTCAGCCCGAGTTATTAAAATAATCAAAAAATGTTTTCTGACTAAATTTAACAATCAGTCAACGTCAGAATCAAATCTCACTTTAATTTTCTTTGCTCGATGTTTTCGGAAGAAAAAAAACCAGCGAATGTTGATACTTTAGGGACAAATGGAGTTTTTCTGCAAAATTTATTTTACAAACAAAACATTTTAACATTCTCGATAAAATTCGACCTTTTTAAATTGTGATTGGTCATTAATCATTCTTTGTTAACTCGATTGTTAACGTGACGTTTTTTAATCATCTTTAAAAGATGTTTGGAACCTTCAAGATTTATCAAAAGAGAAATAAAATTACGTGAACACTCTACTGCAGCTCCTCCTCGGACTTTACAAGCGACTGAACCTCGGCCGGACGTTTGCAGACGATAGAAACTTTACACCAAAGTAAATAACCGATCAAAGACACAGGTAGAAAAAAAGTTTACGTGACATCGAATCAAAAGCTTGTTTGATGCAGAGCTGCTGTTTTGGGTCGATTGTCCCGAGTCAGCGGGGAAACGTTCAAGAACAAAAGACGGCAAATATTTAAGTTACAACCGCGTGAGGACGATAAAACAAACAGAACGCGGGTTCGTGTTTTTCTTTACGTGCAGCTTCTCTTTCATATTTAAACTCTTGAAGTTCGTCTACAGTTACTCTGCAGCTCCTCGGGGAAACACATCTTCCTCACATGTTTCCGTTCTTATTTCCTCACAGCGTCTGCGAACAGGACGATGCATTCACCGTCATTTCGCCTCAGGTTCTTAAGGGACCTACCGATGTAGTCGAAGCGTCCCGGCGCCAGCCTCTCCGGGAGGTGGGCGGTAAACAGGAAGCAGGTGAGGAAGGCGAAGAGGAGGTGGTAACAGTGACTGGACAAGGCGCCGCTCTGGCTGCAGCTTCCTCCGCAGCACAGGAGAATCTGCACAAAAGACAGATTTCAGATTTAAATATAATTCAGGTTTTCAAACGTGCATCTCTTCACTGGTTGAATATCTAAATCGCCAGGAGGTGATTAACTCACCCTGTAAAACAAAGGGACAGTGTCAAATATGAATGGGACGACGAACGCTCCTGTTCTGAGAGCTTTGCTTCTCTGTGGGAACTGTAACTCCAGGAACCTGCAGACACACAACAAACGAGAAGAATCATTTGAATCTATACGATAATTATATAACAAGTTGCACACGCACCATTAAAAATACATAAACTGATTCACTGGGAAATTTGAGAAAATGTCAAAAAGCAGCAACTCAGTATTTTCTACTTAATCCTGATGACAATCAAACAAACAGATGAAAACATAACGAGGCGGAGGTAATGACACAAACACATGAAAGGAGAAATCAGACGTCTTGACCTTAATATCTTATTAGTTGGCATCTAAAATATAACTGAATACGTCCCTCTCATCCACCAACCTTATTTTTTTTTATTCATTTGTTTTTTATTGCCATGTATTTGATGAAGCGCTTTGTGACTTTGGATATACAAAGTTATTTTTTTTGAGTTTCTCTTTCCTCGTGTGTGTGTTTGTGATCAAAACTTGTGCAAAGTTAAAAAGTGTGAGTGGAGCTCCTCGAACATCTCGTCACCTGAGTCTGACAGGAGCTGCAGGAATGGACGGACTGAGGAAAAAGTGTTTGTGAACATTAATAAGTATTTAAGTAATAACCCGAATTAAAATAAAAGACTGTGGAGTTTGTTTAGACTGATGAGTAAGAAGAAATTCCAGATACTAACTTCTGTTGGAGGTTATTTATTTATGTAAAAAAACTCCAGTGTGGTCGGGCTCAACGTCTCAGAACACACACGCTAGTTTTTGTCAAAGGCTGCAGTTGATACTCGAAACTGCCCGACAACAAAACAAATGATCTCTCATCCATCATGAGAGTCTGATTAACGCAGCTCTTTCAGCAGCAGCTTCAGCTGAAGTCAGAAACGTTCTCCCGGGCGTCTCCGGCCTCTGCATGTGGGTCACCGTGTCGTTACGAGGCTGAAGGTATTTAGTCTGTCTGGGTTTCAGTGGAAGGTTCAAGTGTCACGTGTTGGTGGAAATTCTCTTTCACTGGCTTTTCTCCATCTTGCCAAGAACAGACGTCTGAGAGGAGCTGGAAAACTTTCTGTACCATTCGTCCTTACATCGACTCTCAATGCCTTTATGTTTAACGTCCTTGAAAACAGGTTATTATAAGTGTGGATTTATGGGTAAAAACAAGCGAAGCCTCGCTGAATATTTACCTCACGTCTTAAAGGTATAAGATTTCTACAGAAACCCTCTTCTTACCTGGAGTAGCAGGACAGACTCGTGCAGAACAACGTGTTTCCGATGGCGATGGGGACGAAATGTTGATGGAGGAAACTGTTCACCCAACAGTCAGGCATCACGTAGTATCCGTAGCTTATTGCACAACCTGAAAACAGACACACGACAACATGAGCGTGTTGAATCGGTTCAAACTTGACTTGAATTTTAACGTAGTTATTTGTATTTGTACACGTTTCCTTCTGTCCGTGTGGATTTATTATTAATTAAAGTCAGTTATACATTAGAACATGTGGGTATCATTGGGTTTTCACACAAGCAGATGTGTTGTGTGTACATTTCCTTTGTAAAAAA